TCAGTATTTGTAACTGACCGCTGTTACATCACGTCGTCGTCCCCTCCGCGCCTCCCTTTCCCGCCTGCTGATCTTGTCTTTCCATTTTGTTTTCTTGTACATTTTTGCACAGTTAACTTGTTCATATGTAAATATTTTACTTTCAAAAATGAAGTTTTTAATTGCTATTGTTTTATATAGGATTGAAAGAAAATTAACTCCTTTATTAAAAACAAATTTATCTGTACCACAGCTGTCTGCGTGTTGAATGTTGCTCGCTGTGCTGTATTTTCATGCTTGTATATCGTATGTGTTGGTGCTGCCTCTAGTGGCTGGCTGTATACCAGACCGTGCAGTCAGCATCCTTACTGAACAGCTGTAGGGAAAATCGGAGGTTAAAGCTGAACTCCAAGCACAAAAAAAAGTTTGTGTGTGTATGCATATAATTAGACCAGTCACCCTGCACAAGGAGAGAGAACAGCAGTGATCGGTCTTTATTACAGGAAGGGGCGGAGACAAGACCAGTCACCCTGCACAAGGAGAGAGAGCAGCAGTGATCGGTCTTTATTACAGGAGGGGGCGGAGATGAGACCGGTCACCCTGCACAAGGAGATAGTGACCTATCTTTATTACAGGAGGGGGCGGAGACAAGACCAGTCACCCTGCACAAGGAGAGAGAGAGCAGCAGTGATCGGTCTTTATTACAGGAAGGGGCGGAGATGAGACCGGTCACCCTGCACAAGGAGATATTGACCTATCTTTATTACAGGAGGGGGCGGAGACAAGACCAGTCACCCTGCACAAGGAGAGAGAGAGCAGCAGTGATCGGTCTTTATTACAGGAAGGGGCGGAGACAAGACCAGTCACCCTGCACAAGGCGAGAGAGCAGCAGTGACCGGTCTTTATTACAGGAGGGGGCGGAGACAGGACCATGCACCCTGCACAAGGAGAGCAGCAGTGACCGGTCTTTATTACAGGAGGGGGCGGAGACAAGACCAGTCACCCTGCACAAGGAGAGAGAGCAGCAGTGACCAGTCTTTATTAAAGGAGGGGGCAGAGACAAGACCAGTCACCCTGCACAAGGAGAGAGCATCAGTGACCAGTCTTTATTACAGGAAGTGTCACACTGGGTTACTGCACAGATCTGGAAGAAATACACAAAGCTCACCAAGGAAGAATACACATGGCTCCTGTATGAGGACAATATTTGCTGATCCCGGAGTTCAGCTTTAAGCCACATAGAGTTCTCTTTGTTTTCAATGAAATACTATGGCAGAGCTCTCTCTATATATCTAATATAAGAATAGTAAAGTTTACAACATACATAATACAACTTCTGTATAGACACAGGGTTCAACAAAAAAAAAATGATTTACGTTAAGTTGATCACATTTGAATGTAATCCTAAAATGTAAAGGGCCAATGAAAAGCTGGCTGGGGCACATTGGAACCAATCAGGAATCATCAGTGCTATGCTGAGAGCTGATTTCCGATGGGTTGCCATAGATCAGGTAGGTAGGCAAACCTGGGCATTCCAGCTGCTCTGACACCACAAATCCCGTCATGCCCGTGGCTGTCAGTCTTGCAATGCCCCATGGGACTTGTAGTTCCACAACAGCTGAAGTGCCAAGGTTGCCCACTCCTCTACTATGAACCTGATTTGTACAATGTCTTTCAGATCGGCCATAACTGTGTAGTCCGAGGTCTGAATGAATGGTTGGTTTAGGTTTGTCTTCATATTACATAGTTGTTGGTAGATCTAAAGGAGATTGTACAGGGGTGGGCAACCTCGGCATTTGGCTGTTCTGGAACTACAAATCCCATGGTCCTTGCACGGCTCAGAGAGCCACAGGCACGACTCGCAGAGGCATGCCACGGTCTGAATGGGCCCTATCACATGCGTTCTGTTGCTCACAGTAAGGTAGTCCATCGATTTGAGTGAGTTGTCAACACACCAGAACGAATAAATTAATTGACGTGCAGCATTTTTTAGCACCGTATTGCACCACAATGCACGGCAGTGTGTTATTGTGTGTGTGATAAAGTGTGCTGCAACACATGTGTATTCCCTTTAGTGTGCTGGGGTGTTTATTGAGGATGAGAGGCACCACAACGCACAGGTGTAAGACGCAGCTACTCATTCAGTAATGTAAAGTATTAATGTATCCGCAGGTAAGTAGTGTATATAGAGAGATACATAAGGGCAGCTTATGCGTGTCTCTAAACTCAGGAGTAGGTCACCTCAGCACTCCAGCTGTACTGAAACTACAAATCCCCTAGGTCTAGGCAGGACTCATTGGATATATAGAATATGGGGGGGCTGAGGTGTATTTTATATGAATTTATAAGGATAACGTTATGTGGCAGAAAATGTTCTTCTCAATAAAGATTGATTATCATCTGTAAATAATAATAAACTAGATGAATTTTATTATTGGGCGGATCATCTTTACATGGAAGGGGGATTGTTGGTAAGGTGTGGTCAATGAATCCCCCAATGTGATCCATGCACACGGCTGTCCTGTGTGATGCAGCTGATGAGCTCCATGGGCTCTGTGTGATCAGCTGACAATGATGAGACCACACACACACACACACACACCTGTGTCTGTCTGACCTGTGCAATCTGAACCATTATCACCTCTCACAGGAACACATCACACAGGTAAGACATATGCAATGACTGCTTCATGACGGCTGAAGAGTTACCTGCAACTCGGC